AGTTATCCTGTATTTTAGCAATTTCATATACAAAATAAAACTTACGTTTTCCCTGTCTAACGATAGGAAGACCGCCCCCAAGTTGATCATTGTCGACTTCTCCTTCATTTCTTCAAAATAATAATAAGAAAATAGAATGAAATATTTGGTGTCAATTTCGGTTGGAATGCTGGCTATTACCATACGAAAAAAAGAATTGCAGACTAGAAATTATCCATTGTTTCCCAGATCCTCGTCTGCATTCTTTGTACATAGTTACTTGACCATAATATCGGCTACTTACAAATAACACCGACACTGACATATTATCAATGATAAAAGTCATTCTTTTATTCTGAAAGATAGTCATTAGTACCTTCGCTTTCCAGGCAACATTGGGTTATAGTTCTTCATCCACTGGCCTGAAAAATGAAGAAAAAAGTCATAATGTTCAGATATTTTGATTGACAGTATTACTTTTGTTGTTGTTGTTGTTGTTGTTGTTGTTGTTGCTGTTGTTGCTGTTGTTGTTGTTGCTGTTGTTGTTGTTGTTGTTGTTGCAGCTGTTGTTGTCGTGTTGTGTATTGTCGTATTAGTACAAGTAGTACTAGTTGTTGTTGTTGTTGACCGTTGTTGCTCATATTCTATTTTTCTATCTTTCAAGTCTAGCATTTTCATATTCAAAATATAACTTACGTTTTCCCTGTCTAACGATAGGAAATTGATCATTGTCGACCTCTACTTCAGATCTTCAAAATAATGAAAAAATCGAATGAAATATTTGGTGTCAATTTCTCTTGGATTGCTGGTCTATCACACACAAAGAAAAGTGATCAAAGTTTACGAGTAAAGGTTACATCATACCCTGAATTGAAACGCTTCCCAGGTCTAATTGGGGGAAACGCTTGAGGATCATTCTGCGCCGCTTCTCTGCTGCAAAGATCAATCACAAACACCAGTGCTGATGATAATTCAGAATTCATATAAGTGTAACTGAAAAGACTTTACAGTATCGTGTTAATAATATAGCACATGTCGTGTAAGTAAACAATTTAAAGGCCCAGTTTGCACCATTATGCTTTGCGCGCCTCATTGTTATAATTTATACCAAAATATACTTCTAGTATCCAAATATCACCATAAAACGAATTTCAGWTGGTTGAAAACTCTTATATTAGCGTTTAAAGTGCTTAGAAAAGTGAAATGGCCAAAGATTCGAAACACACAGTACAATTTATAGACTTTCGGTAAACTGAAAATGGCCGCCTCCAGGCCCCCAAAGCATAATGRTGCACACTGGGCCTTTAAAAAGTCTCTTGTCAGTACTGATAGCCGTTGTCTTTCCTCTGAATTCGTAGCTCAGCTAGTAGAGCATCGGTAGTACAAATCCGAAGGTCATGGGTTCAAATCCCAGCGAGTTCGGAGATTATTTTTACCGAAGTTATTCCTAAGGGTCTTTCTCCCGAAATTGCCGCCTCCTTCTAAGCACTATAACTTTCTTTCATTTCTATATCGTGTTGATCATAGTGCATGAGGTCCTCATATTCATAACTAAACAATAGATAAGTTTTCCAACAATAAAACAAAACCTAACCTAACAATAGAGATGCTGTACTTAAGCAGCAATCAAAAAGTAGATATCGATTGGTGCTGTATTACGGAAATTCGACACACAAGAAATCAATGGAGTAAACATTACTAGAGAAATGGGTCGCAGTTTACACAAAAACAGACTTATTGCACAGCCAAGTGAAAGACATCAAGCGCGAGTTTATAGTCGTCGAGTGGTACCTTCTTTTTCCTGGCACTGCATGAGTGTATCCTACAGACCATTGCCTTCCTGTAAAATAGAAAAGCGTCAATGTATAAAGGCTTAAATACGACAGTGAACAGGTTAATGAAGATGGGGACGTATATCAGTGCCTACGTGCTACGTTMCGTTCCGTCCATATACTTTGCAAGTTAATGACAGTATAACTGTTTATATACCGTTTACATGTTGGGGGATAAAAATGTACGTTCTACGTTACGTTACGTTACATTACGTTCTTACTTATTGTTGTAAACAACAAAGAAAAGGACTGTATATAATACGTAATGTGTAGGTTCTACGTTACGTTACGCACATACGCATTGTAAAAGTCGTTTRCAAGTAAACAAAGCAACGTATAAATACGTACGTTCTACGTTACGTCCATACGTAACGACGAAGAAGAGAGCAAGTAGACAAGCCAACAGCACCACACCTTGCGATGCCATGTTGAGTATAGTACGTTAATTTAACAATTCTAAGTCTGTGGATGAGAGAAAGAACTTTCGTTTACGAATAATGCTATATTTAGGCAAATGTAATTTGAATTTCTGTTACAGAAAGTTATTTAAAATGGAATCGAAATATTGAAGAATAGAATCTTAAAACTGACGGCTAGAAATGATACCCAACACAAATACAATATTCGAGGCTGATTTTATGTCCCTCGTTCTTACAAATTTTCTCGGTTTCGCCAAATAAATGCTTTTAATATAAGGGAAGTGTTTGCGTAAACTTTTTTCGCGATTTCGCGATTTTTAACAAATTGAGAAATTAATGTCTCGAAAAATTAATTACGAATAATGTATTTGAAACATTGAGCAACTAACGCGCTCCATTGAAGTTAAATTTGGCTTTTGAAATAATTAAGCACAATCTTATAGCTGTTATAGAATCGTACTTAGTCAACTAAAAACGTGTAGAATAATGACTATATTCTTCAATTGTACTGTCTTGAATTCGTCTAACTTCAATTTTTTGTAATATCATTTCGTTCAGTACATCATTCCCAACAATTGACTGAACTTTCACCTCATTATACTTTAAACTATAACCGTAAAATACTTTTAAAGTTGACCATTCCCTTGAGCTCCTAATAGCGCCGCCTAGCAGTAACTTAAGTTTGTTTTAAATAGAGGAGTATTGAAGTCTTTACACATAATACACTTACCTTACGTGAAGGTTCAGTCTGTTATGCACAAGTGCAGACAACTAGCCAAGCAGCCTTTTTATACTTAATGAACAGGCAAGTACTTGGGTGGAGTAGCACAACGCTATAACGTGCGATTATCCGCCAATGGACGTGCTACATTAACGCATGAGTTTGCGCAATCCCTTAGCTCAGAAGGCGTGGGTGGATAACGTAATGAGCATCTGCAAAGCGAACGAGTAAATTGTACAACTCCAGCGTTAAATGAACTAAAACAATTACTCTTTAAGAGTGACAGCTTTATAGTTCTCACAGCACTTGAGATAACGGTTGATAATTCGCGCTTTTTTAATAAAACCACTCATCTTTGGTCGGAGAAACATCGGGGGGCTTACGATAACCACCCGCTGTCTGTCGGTTAAAAATCGGATAGTTATCGGTTGATGCCGGACAGGAAGTGGATGCGGCACAGCGAGGGGCCGAGCGAGAAAACCCGCCTTTTCAAGAACCCACGCATATTATGGAGTGCGTTAATTAGAAAATTTAGGGTCATTAATGACTGCACCTTTATAGTAGTCTGAACGTGGAAATGATCGTGGGCGACAGAAAAATCATTAACAGCTTTAAACTATTTATAATCATTTAAGCTTAATTGTCCAAGCTTAAAGAAAAGTTAAATGGTTTTAAAGATGTCTTTGTAACATAAAGATCTTTGATTGATTGATGTTGCTGTTATAGCAAAAGACTAGACTTTGACTGACAAAGGAYTGTATAATAATAGTTTTAAGTCGTTGACATGCCTTTTGACGCAAAAATATTTCATTAAYTGCTTGGCATAAGTAAGACCACCGTCCAGAAAATCTGGAAAAGTTAGAAGTTTGTGGCTTCGCGGAATCARTYTATAAGTATAGATATCCCGCACATTCATTATTAACATAGTGTAATAAGGAAAATTTCTTTGCTTTGTTAGTTTGTTKCTCTAAATTTCTTACTTTTATTTCATAATCATATATTTCTCTTTTTTTCTCAGTTTCGAGTTTACATTATTTCGTTTTTTAAATCAAACAATATTAACAATGCCAAAATAAACCACTGACTAATAGCAAAACAAAATAATTAGAAAATAGTACTTAGAAAAATAAGCATGACTTTTGAGTGCTGTGTTAAAAGTTCTTTTGTTTTGGAAATATAGCTTTAATATGATTGTTTTATTACTGTCTAAGTACTGTATAAAAAGTTCAAATATTCAGAGAGGGTTGACTTTTGTCTCGACTAAATGTCTGTTTCCCTATTATTGTCGTAAATCAGCTGTTCAAAACAGATCTTACAACGTTAAAATGCCAGAATATTATCAGTTGATTTATTCATAGGATCTATGTGTAGCTGATAAYCAWTGCTTTTTTTATTTTTTTACGAGAGCTTGAACAAAATGCATCGAAAATATTGATTGATAATGATAAAATGAAAACGTAGAGGATATCTTGCAACCTATAAAATCAATATACACCTAGAAGTATTTGATAATGCAGGATATACTCAAGCGAGCGCTATAGTTAAAAAAGAAAAAGAAACTAAACTAAAGATTAAGYAGGAAGAGCAACAAACAAAAATGGCAGCAAAAACATGAAAGCAATTGTCTCTTTCAAATAATAATTTTTCTATTTACTAGTTTAAAGCTTCTTTTGAAGAATGACTGTGATACCTATTAGTTAAAGCAGGCCTCGGCTACGCAACGATACTGATAACTGCACGGAACTTCACCTGGTATTAACACTAAACCATTATACAACATTGAACTGAGAGAAGTTCACGACTCCTGTTCAACACGATTACGGCGTAAAAGAATATTGTAGTTTTTCAAACTTTTACGAAATCTACTCTATTGTTCCATGTTTCGAGCAAATGTAACTTGAACATCTTTATTTTGAAGGACTTGTTGGCTTCTCCTTTTGATTTTAAAGTAAAAAATAATCAATATTCCTCTTCGCTAGAGCATAGCGCGAGTATAATTTGCTCATTTTCAATTATCTGAAAACCAGGATYATTTTACCAGTCTATTCTTKGAGGATTTTGAGTTAAAGTCTCTCTGTTCCTACAACGGCTTTTTCCCCAGAGGCGCAAATTGTCTCTTCTCAGCTGTCAAACGCTAGTTTTGTGCGCTAAACGTTCAATATTGCGATATTGTACGAGTATTTGAAGAGCTACCTGTATGTTTGAGTCTAGATAATATGACATGCTAGCTGCCCCCTTTAGATTAAACTTTCATCAAATTCAACAAGACAAGAAAGAAATGTTGTAATGGTTTGTAGTGTTTTGATAATGTTTATTCTGATGACCTGCCATCATAGATATAAGCATTTGTAGTTTACGGGTATAAATGTAGTGTTTTGGATAGAGATATTGTTTCAAGAATGCTTGACACCCGAATAGCGCGTTCCATCTAAAAAAAACAGAGTACATTGATGTTTTTTGTTCTACATTATTTAGTGACTTTGCCAGGTGTACACTACAGAGAAATGACTCAACACTCGACAAAAGTCTGTAAAATTTTTATCTTATAATCGCCGTATTCACATCAAGTTTTTTATTATCAATGAAGCATTTAGTTATAATTTCTAAGTGTCGAAACACTCAAAAGGACCTTGTCAAGGAGCTATACTTATCTGAACAAAACCTTATTAAAGTCATTAGGAACACATAAATACTTACAACAGAAGCTTCGTTCTTGTCATGTTTATTACCTATGTAATTTTCAGTGCAAAAACGCAATATTTTTACACTTCTAAATGTTTTTTCTATATATAAATGTACCAATATAGATAAGTGCTCTACTAATCTCATTGGTTGAATTTCGATCACGTGACATCAGTCACCTTGACTACCACTACGTAGTTCTCGCCACAACGAATTATATGCTGAAATAAGGTTCTCAGTCAGTGATACATGGAGAAAATATTTATAATAATTACAAATAAGTCCTAGTTTTGCGACAAACAGATAAATACGGAGCGAAAACTACATTCTACATGTTTAATATCAATGATATAATAAACTAGTTTCATAGAATTATGACACCGCAATTTAGTCTAAAATATATCTATACATGCTGTTAACTTTGTTCTAAAACTTCTTGTACATTCTTGTAAACTGAAGTATTTTCACTTCATGGTAAGTTTTTGTAGTTGTAAATTACTTGCGTCCAGGCATCCCTCGGCTGCTATGACATTGTTAACAGTATACGCTTTTTGCTTAGTAAAACTCAGGCTCAAATTACTGGTTGTCGTTGACTGGGATGGCTTGCTCCTCTCTCGTTTACCGCAGAAAATGGCGCGAAATCCTGACCTAAAATCACGCATGCGCAATATGTAGATAAAGAAATTTATCGCCGAGTTGAGGTACTGGACAAACTTTAGGATGAAAAAGTTGTTATAATGAGAAAGTGAAAGAGATTTAATGAAAACCAAGGCAGCCATGAAACACTGAAGTGGAAGCCACGTTGACAATGATGCAAGCGTGACGATGAAGAGCGTGAGTGACAGCTTTTTGTCACGCACTGTTCGATTCTGATTCTGCGCACTAGGATTGGCGTGACGACTCTTCAACCAAATACTRAGATACGAAACAAATATCACAACGAGGGAGAGCACCATGACGGAAAAGCGAAGTAGTTCGAAAATATCGAGATTTTTACCTTGTTCTGGGAAGCCTAACACGACATTTGTCAAAAGAACTACTGCAGCAGCAAGCCACGGTACAAGGCACATGATAAGGTGGTGCTTAAAACGCAGCATCCTGTGTTTGAAAGGAAATACAACCGCATAAAATCGCTCGACTGAAATCATAGTCAGACCCAGCAGAGATGCCGCGCCAGTTGATGAATCAAGAAGTTCTAAAGCTAGCTTAAGATGGTACGGTACGGTGAAGGCCTCGAGGTAGAAAAAATAAGCCACTATAAAAATCACGATGGACACAGAGAAATCAGCAATGGAAAGATTGATAATCATGTAGTTTGAACGCCTGCGAAGAGACTGGGTCTTAGCRAAGGTAACGATGGAGGCCAGGTTGCCAAGCATTGTGACGATACCAAGTATGACGAGAGATGTGACCTGCGCAATGATCGTTGCTCGACTTCGATAAAAAAAAGACTTTACTGGTTGAAGGTTTGGCGTCGTACTTTGGGTGGTGAGGTTGGATGAATCCATGTCTGAAAAATGATAAAAAATCTGTTGATTGCATATAGTATATATACCGGTTTGGCAGACTGCATCATTGTATGATGAGAATATCAAAATACTGAATGTTCAAAGATTACAGCAGGGTGAAGTTTCTTTGAGAAACTAACACTGCACAAGATCGAGCATCCTGCACTTTCACTATTAAACACCTCCTTCACCTCCTGGCCATCACTTCATACTGGAGTCTTGTAAAAGACATGAGTGGGAACAGTTATGCTTGTTGTTTCAAAAAACAGACTGAATTCCCAGAAACACGAACGATAAAAACAACGTGACGCAGTTCGCATTTTAATCCCGGGGGGGATTAATCAAACCATGGTGCATATTGTCAGCGCCATCTAGTGTTGTATGGATGATATACGGCGAAACTACATGGTAGTGACTCTTTAATCTGGCTCAGTTTCTTTACTCAAGTTAAAAATTCTAAACCCTTTTTCCAAAGCTCTTTTTATTTTAATCTGTTACAAAGTCAAAGTTGTTCCCGATCCTTATTGACTTGTTTGATCTCAAATCGACCTTCTGCTTATTTTTGATCTTTGATTCGTGATCTCGTCGACAGCGACCCCAAAATAAAGCCTTATAATCGATCTATGATCTCATACTCGACTCAGTGCATTGATTTATTAACTTGGATAAAATGTAACTCACTTAGAAAGCTTAATATCCAAAGTTTTAAAAAATGTAACTGAATCMAATAACTCTTCAATCCCATTATTATAATGATAATATTATTAATATATTATTTGAATTGATTTATAAATGACATTTATGATTTTAAACGATTCTATACACTTACCCAGACGCAAAATGAGAATTTTCTTGAAGTGAAAGGCGCTGATATTCGGAGTAGAACACAGGTTTATTAGAAGCCTGTTTATATAACGAACTGGACCCGGGCCTCCCCAAAGAAATAATTGGATTTTTGTCTCATTTATGAATAGCTTCAGATCCTAAGTTCCATCTAAACGATTTAAACTTTACCTTAATTAAAGCACTTATTACTCTGTATTTTGAGTGGTGTGTTATTTAACTCTTTCATTAAATCTGTTTACTTTACTAATCAAATACATATGGTGTAAGGATA